GTGAGTGTCGAGAGGGTGAGAAAAGAGTGAAGAGCTGCTGGAAAATTTGTGTGGAAATGGTGAGGAAAAGCTAGGGAAGAGAAACGAATGAGTAGCAAGGAGAGGCATGTAGCGGAACGAAGAAACGAAAAATGTGGATGAGGGGTGAGACGTTAAAGCAGGGGAAAAGAAGTAGTATAAAAGATAGAAAGAAGAAGGTATAGATAATTAATGGAGAATGAATAAGGAGCAGATAGAGGAATAAAGAGAAGGTAAAGCCTTGTCTACAATCTTGAACTGTCAGTGCAATCATCGCTGCTAAGAAGACACGCATTTAAAGATAATAGATATCGTCTACTGTCGTTTTGCAGAGTAATGAAGTTAAATGCTCATTTACAGATTTCTCCATGAGAAGAATCCGTACGGGCTTCCTCAGTAATAATGTAATCCTCTTCGCTGTCAAGAACTTTAGCGTCACACTAATTCGCTAAATTCGCTAAATTCGGCCTGAACTTCATTCACACTGGCTGCACAACGCCCAAGTGCTTGTTGTCCGCCAGTTAATAGCTTGTGGGGCGGCGGGCGTACGGTAGACCCCGCCGCATCGCTACAGACAGACTATCGCAGTATTGATAGCACGGGGGAAAACTGAAAAAAATGGCACGAGTAATAGAAAAAAACAGTAGGCGCTGACCGAATTGAGCAGGTGACCGCTCTGTAGAATGCTCGTATCACAGCATCTTTTAACGTGGAGTTTTTTTAGTGGTCACTATGAACAGGTGACGCTCTATAGAAGTGTTTTTTTATTCCATGTCTGTTTTGTGTGTGCTGCGTAGGCATGAACTTGCAAAAGTATCGATGATGCATTAATTCTTTATGTATTGATTGAACTGTCCCAAATCACCACGACCGTGGGCGCGATCACATCCGTAATAAACGCGATACACAGTTCTACAGAGTTAAACGAAAACCAAGTCGCCATGTCTTGCGGCGAATTGTGTTTCACAACGACACATAAGCACAAAGGAAACGCGAAAGTCTCAGTGACGGGATAAATAACATTGATTAAAAATTAATCATCAAAATTAAATCTTCGAAATCTTTTAATTAATCACATCGTCGGCAGCGTTCAGAGAGACCTAATAACAATGGCTGCTCTCCTATTGTACTCGTCATATATAGTCGTCATATATACGCCTATAATAATACATAATATGATATATTGTCAGGAGTCTAACACACACACACACACACACACACACACACACACACACACACACACACACACACACACACACACACACACACACACACACACACATATATATATATATATATATATATATATATATATATATATTACGTTTATAATTATTAGTTTTTTATACATTTCATAAATTGCATGAATACTATTTAAACAAACTATACATATATGTATATATAATTATATAACATACGTGGACGGTGACGAGCCCTTATAGTTGTAGGAATCCGAGGCACTCGCTTCCTTTACATCTATGATAGTAGTTACAAAGCTCGGCTTCTTCTTCGGCTTAATACAGCCGAAGCTGAATAAGGTCACAATATTCCACATAAAACCCATATCGAATGAGACACTTGAAATCGCACGGTCGAAATACCGCAAGGCAAGAAGTTTTAACGTTGGCTGAAAAGCGTGCACGCTAGAGAGCAACAATAAAACTTCTGAAACGAGGTGGCCGTGTCGCCTAGCAACGTCAATTGCGACACGTCACCAGTTCTTTAGTGATGTCATCGCCAGTTAACTAGACAATGGGAGAAATTACAGTTTTATATTTATTTAGTTTAATCTATAATATATATATTTATATGTATATTTATATATATATATATTATATATACTATATACTTTTATTATATAATACATATAATACATAATATATATATATATATATATATATATATATATATATATAATACATGTATTTATTTATTTTTATTTTAAAAATATAGATTATATATATATATATATATATATAAATTTTTATGTATATTTTAAGTATAATCTATGTTATAATTATCTCTGTAGTAATATTAGTAATCATTACATAATTAGGAGTGCAAAAAAGCAAGGGGAAGAGCGATCAGGACACGTCACCAGTTCTTTAGTGACGTCATCGCTAGACAATGGTGGAAATTACACCAAAAATATATATTACGTTTATAATTATTATAGTTTTATATTTATTTAGTTTTATAATATAATTTTATATATAATACTATTATATATGTATATACGTATTATATATACGTATATATATATATTATATATATATATATATATATATATACTGTATATTCCGGTAGAGTAAACATGGTAGATTATATGTCCGCTCCTACAATGAAAAAAAATCCCCTCGCATTTTATTAGTGGGAATATATTCTAAAATTACACAAAATATTAGATTTAGGTCGAAAACTCAAGATTAATAACATATTAGTAATATTTTAAGATATTACAAGATGTTGACATAATTAAGAATAAAGCGAAATCGAGAAATAGGAGAAACGGGGAAAACGAACTCGTGCCTTCGCGTATAAGAACCGGCGCTAAATTAAATGGGATGACCTCCAGCCGACCCCCCCCCCCCCTTATTCCGCCAGGCTCTTAACCGTGTTCCTGGCAATAATACGCGAGGCGGTAACCTCGTACACATTGGTCTTCCAAGCCCAATAGACCATATCGAAGACGTAAAGAGACACCGTGGATCGCCGTAGAAAAAGCCTAAATTTTGCAATAAACTACAGAGGAAGGGAGAGAATTCCAATACGGAATGACTGGGTCACATGTGACGAAGCAGCTGGCGTCTGATGTCAATTTTAACGCACGTATATATATATATATATATATATATATGCATATGCACTTACTGTTAGGCATAGCCTATTTAGAGCCGATTTATGGCATGTATCTCTGAAGTATTGGTTTTAAAAGCGCGAGTGTATGCTAATAAATTATAACTTCAGTGGCAGCGGTCCGCACCCATAACGCTCAGGCTAGAGCACACACGCACGAACGCACGCACGCACGCACGCACGCACGCACACACACACACACACACATACACACACCAATTCCATTAAACCCATATTATTAACACTATACCTGTCACAAATCTAAAGTATAAAAGAGGCAAACACATAAACTTTGGATTAGAACAATTTATTACTGCGATCTGTTTATAACACGTATTAGGTACCCTATAAAAATTCCCAAGACCTATATCAAAACAATTATACACAGGATCGCACGCAACAGAATAGAGAACGCAAGAACAAGAGGCTTCAGAACGGTATCTGTCTGTAAGGAAAGCTCCACTCTCTCTCAACCTTAGTCCCAGCAACATATATCCATCTCCCACCCAGTAAAGAAAGCCTTACGTAACTAAGAAAGTTAAGAAGCTCTGCACTGTATAGCCAGACAGCAATAGTTAAGAACCTGACAAAACTACGAGAGGTCGGAACTATTCGTTTATTACGAAGATGGCAACGACTGTATTTGCCAAAACCCTGGTAGCTACACCAGTGGACACACACCCCGTGAAGCTGCCACGTGCCTCACGTACAAAAATATGTTGACACCAAAAGTCAGTTCTACTCTTAATTATCCGCTTAACACGAGGAGCTGCAGGGCGAAAACTTATTTTGAATAGCATTTTACCAAAACTGTGTTGTGACTACGTCGGGCAAAACAAGGGTAGCGTATTTGACAAAATACGCATTAGTTTGACTAAACAAGCGTAATTAATCCAAAACAGACTGGTGTAGTAAAATTTCATCCACGATACTACACTGGTTGCAACGTTCATGTGGCTGTGGTCAACAAGGACCGATTCATATCTGTGTATACCATGGATTGGGAATAAAAACAAATTTGAACCTAGACAAGATGTATTAACTTGGTCGTCAGGTTGTTCCTCTCATGACCAATAGATGGGATGGGCTTAAAAAATCGCATCGCAACTGCATGCTTTGCAGTGGTAACAGCACCTATAGTTTCAGCCGACTCACTTCTAATCATTTCAGACTATCGATTCGTGAATTCTGTTATACCGATGACGTTACTTAAAGTGCTACCAAGAGTTATATTCTAGTTCTAGATCCAGAACTCTTTCTGCTCAATGAAAGTACCTTCCGACTAACGTTTCATTGACTTCTGTATATAAATTGTGCTGTTTTATGCGAATACCACCTGCTAAATGTAACATTACACCAGTTTACATATATAAAGATATTAGTTGATTGTTTTAAAAATTACTATTGAACCAGTTACATGTAATAACATTTTTTGCATCCTAGTAATTCGTAATGGTAAACAATCACCAGTGCTATCATCATGGAAGCCACTGTCAGAACAATACTAATGCGCGATTATTACCAGCAAATAATTATAGTATAAACACTTGAGTAAATTTTTCAAACATGTCCATTCTTTTCATTACGAGCCAAAAAGAATCACTGACCTGACCAAAGAGCATATTAACTTGGGTGAGACCTTCCTTTATGAACTTCTTGTAACGAAGTATAATTAACTTGGGTTAGATTGACCATTGCTGTGGAGTTATGGGATTATGTTATATTTTGAAGTTTAGTTCAGCATATGATGTTGAAAAACGACAGACTATTCTGACAACGGTTCATAGTATTAAATAGAGTAAGGTTACTGCTGTAATAAACAATCACCAAGGCCTAAAAAAAGACGTTTGTTTCCGCTAACCCGACCTAGTCCATTTTAAACCGCCGTGTCAATACTTTTTCTCGTGATCGGCAAAAAAAAATTCCCAACGTGATATCGATCGGTAAATGCATTGATTTGACTTTGAAGTCATTATATGGGCTGTTATAAGTATAAAACAAGTATTGTTAGAATACAAAAAAAAATAAAAAGTATTTGATAAAAAAAAAGTTTTGCCTGCCTACCGTGTCCAATTTTTTTCAGATCGTTAGCGGAAACAAACGTCTTTTTAGGCCCAATGCTATCACTGACGTGAACTAAATTGAAATTATATCCTGGCAATCGAAAATTTACATCCAGTTTTTCCTATCCTGTAACTTCTCCCGTCATGAAGGTAGATTTTATAATCGGATCAGCGTAGGCACAACTTGTCTCAATGGCAAGATTGTAATGGTCACCGGAGCCACCCTTGTATTTGCTCGTGACAATTCTAAACCACCCGTGCTCTCCCTGCAACAAAGAGGTACAGAAACTTCACATCAATACCAACGCTGAATGAGCACGATTCACGACTCTGTGGTTTTCACCAAAACATTTCAAAGTACATTCCGAGCCATACTACTGAAACCAGAATTTATTTGGATGATGTTAATAAATGTTAACACTGATTGAACAAAAATTGAGTAAAATATTAGAGGTCAACCTGTTCACACACGATAAATTGTCACAAAGAACAGGAGTAGAAATTAACTTTTGAACAAGAGAGTCCGATGGATTTCCTGCCCTCAAAAAGAAGGAGTCCGCAGCAAAATGAGGGAGTCCGCAGTTTGAGGTTCAAAATTAAAGATTTGCTGAAAAATACTGTAATTCCGCGAGGCCGTGCTCTGGAACGAACTAGTTAGTATAGCAGAATTTTCAGGGAGTCCCACGGACTCCTGCATATGTTAAATCAGGGAGTCCGACAGTAAATCAGGGAGTATTTGACACCCTGAAGAAAATGGTAATCCGTTCAGAGCAGACGATAGTCCGAGATTCCTCTGACCAATGCCCACACCGACGATTTTGATGGATTTGGTGTGGATTAGGAGCTGCTAACCCACACCAAATCCACCAAAATCGTCAGTGTGGGCATTGGTCAGAGGAATCTCGGACCAAGCAGACGACTGACACTTGTAAAAGAGTTCCAGCAAATCACTATATAGCAATATGGTAATTACATAGAATTGATTATGGAATTAAACAACACGACGTAAGTCACAATAAAGAGAACATACCCACGGCTCTCCCCAAGAGTTGCGAACAATCCAGTACTCTGTGCCAGTGTCATGATCGATGCCCCAGCCAGCGACAGATATGATGTGGTTGACCTGTTACATGCAAAATAGAATACATTTTTTCTATAGTTGCGCACTTACAATGATACATGTACCCACCTGTAACAATTTACAAACTTTACATGATGACTTGTAAGCATGACTTCAATTGACTTGTATACTTATGATAGAAGTTCAGTTACTAACTACTCTATTGCTAGTTGTTGAAAAAAACATCAACAGCAATGTTGATGAATGTACAGTAGCTCCACCTACAGGTCAAATCGATGTACAAACCAATAGAAGAAACCTCATTCAATGAGCGCGTCTTTTCCTGTCACGTATTACATATAATAAAGCCATTGACATGGTCATTGCAATTCAGTTATCATAGCTCCCTTGAAAAAACCTAATGTTAATAAACATGAGGCATCGATAATTTACTAAGTGCGGCCCAATTACACGGAACTTTAATAACTGGCTGATTAAACAGATATGTCAGGTGAATCTATAAATACCTGAGGCAAAAGTGCGTATTCCGTGTATATTCCACCAGTGTAGTTCTGTTCAAGTCTCTGTGTTGCCATGATTCCACAACTAACATAAGAACCATAATGAACAGGTTTGTACATAAATTTTTTTTTTTTAAATGTAATAAAATTTAAATCTCATGAATGGTATGATTTTTTATGCTTCGTGTAAACAGTTACTCAAGTTTTTTATTACAGTAAAACTTGCATAAGTCGACACTTTTGGGACCAGCATATTTGTGTCGACTAGAGAAAATGAAGACTTACGCATAAGTCGTCATTTTGTCGACTTATACAATGTATGTAATGCGCGTATAGTCGTATAAACTGTATTAGCTGCCTTGCGTAGCATGACATTTGCGGTGCACGTCCGCCAAATTTTCTTGGAACACTTGCTGAAAAAAATACGGTAATTCCGCGAGGCTGTGCTCTGGTACGAATTAGTTAGTACTGTATACTGGTATAGAAGAATTAATTTTCAGGTACATGTCAATTCAGGGAGTCCGACAGTAAATCAGGGTGTATTTGACTCGATCCGGGGCATTAATTTCACACCCTGCATTTGGCTGCATACACTATATAATACACTGTATACAGTGGGGAATCTGGGAGTGTGCGAGATGCGAGCTGGAAACAAAACACAATGTGTCCAAGCGAACAATGCGATTCAAACAACCCGTCTGCGACAGCCAGCTCATGCATTCCCTAGACCGTACACTGCGCCATAGGCATTTCTGGTGACGACTTACAGATGGGAAATTACTGTTCTTTGTATTACATGGGACCTGTCTAACGGCGTCGACTTGTACATAATGACGACTTATAAATGTCGACTTAGGCGGGGCTATTACAATGGATTTAGGCTACTATGAGAGCGAATAGGGACTTTGACTTCCATGTCGACTTACGCAAATTGACGACTTAGACGATGTCGACTTACGCGAGTTTTACTGTACTACATAGTTTTTTTAACTCCGGATAAAATCTAAACCGTGGCAGTGTAAGCGATATTGCGCGCAAATTAACAAATGGCTCACACTTAGATATCGGATGAAAATCATCTGAGGTTGAAAATTCTTTTATTATTTTATTTTTTCTTCTTTAAAACGTCTTACTTGGCATTACGTCATCTGTAAACCTTTACCTGATTGGACCGTTGGCAAAAATCTCGGCCATCATCTTCTCGCGACCGCTAATGGATCCATAGTCTCCGACGAACCATCGCTTGTATTTCTGCACCACATAGCATTCCTTGAACCAGGAGCAAGTACCACACTGATTCATTTTGTCACACTCTGTGAAGCGACAGAGATTCGTGAATTAACACAAAGAACACACTTTCCGATATCACAGTTTACACATATCATGCACGATAGTGATTACCAAGAGCTATTAATACCTGATTGCATATGATTAGCTATTGTCATTATACAAGATAACACTAAAAATTGTTAGGGTTAGGGTCACAAGCCTCGTTTCACCACGCAGCCGGTCGGACGTGCAAGCGCGTTCAACACCGCAAAATTATTCATCATCAGACATCAGATAGATCGTTAGATAGATAGATAGATAGATAGATAGATAGATAGATAGATAGATAGATAGATAGATAGATAGATCGTTAATCATCGCTCGCGCGTGATTGCTTCTCACTTTGGTCGGCCGCCTGGTAGTTGTTGCACGTCTCGTCCGGTATGCCGTTCTTGTGCGCGTACTCGTACACGCCGAGCATGCCGCCGCCATGACACGTGCCGGCGTCGCCGCAGTCGATCACGTTCTGCGCGGAGAGGTACGCAGGTGGCCACGCACCCTTCCGCTTGATGTTGATTCGGTCGGCTATCGCGCTCGTCGTTCCCATGGCCCAGCAGGAGCCGCAGTCTGTCGCGCGGGAGAAAGAACGATCGCGGTCAATCGCATCACAGATATAGAATAAAAGAAAATTGTTCCCACCGCCCAGCAGGAGCCGCGGTCTGTCGCGCTGGGAGAGGGAGAACGATCAATCGCACGGTCGTCGAGAACGATCATCGAACGATCAATCGTGCCACAGATATAGAATAGAAGAAAGATGGCCGACTCCGCGCCGTGTTTTAAAAGGTTGGGGAAGAATGTGTTAGAAAAAATATGGTCTATCTCTACATCTATGATAGCACTGGCTCACCAGAACCAGATTTAGGCATAAGCTAAACCACCTACAGCTTAGGGCCGCGGTCTGCAGGAGGCCTCGCAGTCTCAGTTATTTTCAATTGTTACAGTATTATTATAACTTATATTTAAGTAACGAACTAACCTAATTAACCTAATTGATAGTGGTGTTCTTGCGACGTTCAGTTGTTACACAGCCTTATTCTCTGCTAACAATTGCCAAATATGGCCAGCCTCTACATCTTCCCATAGCTTATGGCCTCATTATATCTAAATCTGGTTCTGCGGGTCACGGGTGAAGCATGCTTAAAAACTACTAGGAACAGAAAGTGACCAGACGTCATTGACGGGTTGATGCCAGGAATCAATTTAACATAGGATTTCAGCAAGACCATCGTGGTGTTCCTGCAGTGCGTGATCCTTTTACATAAAAGCGACGAGAGCGTAGTGCAAATACCATTTATACTTACACTGAGGTATGTGCTGGTTTCGCGTTGTACTAGCATAGTTTGTTCCATTCACGTTTCGCCAGTCCCATGTTTCTGGCAGTGCTTTCAACTGTAGGTATTCGTGAGGACGAGGCTTCGTTCTGTTAAGAAGCAGCAAGTTAAAACTGATAAAACAGCAAGTTAACATTTAGCAAACTTGTAACTTGACAAAAACACATGGACAACGTACATGTTACCCATAAAAATATTCAGGGGGTATTATATATCAGTGTTTCTCCTGCATTGACATGAGCGAGGCGGGCCCCCTCGCTCAAGTTCTCAGCCGCCACACAGAAATTTGTCTAAAACACCGCCTCGCTGACGAAACTTTTGACAACTTGAAAAGGAGATTCAAGAGTCTCAAACAATGTGTTCAGAATAGCTTAGAATGCACCAAATTGCACCATTTTTTCAAAAAAAATATATGGGGGAGCATGGCCCCGGACCCTCCTAGCTTGGCCAGCTCATGTGCTGCGCACTTTGCTAGGACCCCGAAATGCGCAAACACATCACACAAAAATTTCACCACCTCACAGACAATTTTGGCCAGGGGAAACACTATTTTCAGTATATTATATTATATTAAATTATTTGGAATTGTTGTTGCAGTAGGAAGTCTCATTAACTTAGAATCAGTTGCTTTTATCTAAATACCAGTACTTACATGTGGCTAGCTTTTAGCAAAATGTGGGTAAATGACTTTAGAATTATATACGTACACCAAGTTTTAGCTGGGTGAGATAACAGTTCTTTGGCTAACTGAGAGAAGTTTTCTCTTGCTAAATCACATTTCGTGGAGCCAAATTTATGTGTTGTAACCTTTACATAGAGTTGCAGCGAGTTGCTAGTATGTATCCTCATTCAAACCTCTAAGGTGGCAGAATGTTTACTATGAGATTGCCCTAGTATTACATCATTGAGCAGGCTTGGAAAAATTTGCAGTACCACATATTGTCATATGTTACTATTATATCATATACCAGGGGCGTAGCCAGGATTTTCAAAGTTGTAGGCACGACTATCTGAGCGGAGCGCCACCATCGGTTAGCGCGGAGCGTAAAAGAAAATTTTTGGTTTTACAAACCCCTCAGATGGCCGGAAACGGCCCTTCCCGAGTGTTCATTCTGGTTCCCTGGCCTCTTGCTAACTTGAGACACCTCATTCAATATCACTTTTAAACCCAAAAAACACAAACGAGTTAAAATAGTGTTACGAACGAGTTAAAATGTTAAAAAACTGACAAGATCGGATCCTAGTTTTTTCGGCGGGTAGAGTGTTGAATGAAACGGCACGCGATAGAAATGACAGCCTAGATGACAGAAGAATAGGTCACCTAATTTAGCCATATTCTTGCTAAGTTCATTTCAATAGTTTTTCCTGCCTAGACTCTTAAACTCGTCCAGCAAGCTTATGGATTTGAATTATGGGTGTTTAAAAAAAAGAAGAAAACTTGGCCAAAAAAAGTGTAGGCCCGGGCCTACACTGCTACATACTGGCTACGCCCCTGTATACTATGTCATATTGTTTATACTATACAAAACGCACTATGCATGTTTGTAGCCTGGCTGTAGGGTATATATGCATGACTAGCAAATTTTAAGTGTGAAGGAGGAACCCTGTCAATACTTATTACATCTGCCTAGATGTTACATAGGCTCAAACTTTAAGCCATACTTTTGTTTCTGTCATTAACTATGCATGCCTAAAATAAGAAACTGAAGCCCTATCTAAAAATAAGAAACTGAAGCCCTGCATAAGGTTATATCAAGGAATTCCAGTGTGTGAGAAATTAGTAGTGCCAGTGCCCGGCAGTGGTTGGACCACAGGGACATGAGGAGAAAAAATAAATATATATAAAACAAAATGTGTTATATAAAAAAAGAAGACATCTCTTTTTACATGACACTCTTTTTTTTCTGCGTCAGGTCCCTGTGGGGTGGACACATGATTTATGGTATTGGCAGTGAACACCATCAGACAGCAGTGGGCGGCTTGCATGATTTTTTTTCCCAAGTCAATCAAGAACACATGGTTCTAGTGAGCGCTGCCATTGGTTGATACAAATCACGTGCCTCAAACTCCTGTTTTATGGTGCATTCACAACATTGTGACCCTAACCCTAACCCTAACCCAAACCCTATTTTAAAAAATATATAATTTTTAATTGTTGTAAAAATTAATTGTTGTTATCAAATTGTTGTAAATAAATCATGTAAATATTTGC